CCGTTGAATACATCCATCCTCTTGCAGTTGTATCCGTTCCATTAGGTAATGTATCATTTGTAATATATCAGACAATCAAGGAATATATCTGACACAAATGAAAAATCCATTTTTTTTTGTAATTGAAAAAATTTCTAAAATATGATGTAATTAACTCCAATTTTATGATTTTTTTGTACTTCTATGAAAAAAATATCAATAAATATTAGGGATTTACATAGGTATCATTTGTCAAAATCCCTTCGTTAGTTGGGGCAATAGTGGCTATTGGGTTGGGGTATTTTCAAGAAGGGCAACTTTCACATATAGCAAATAAAAAATTTATATTTGTATGATATAGCAAAGTTTGCATCATTGCGCTCCATAGCAAACATAAAACTGTATAATTCGCTATACATATACAATTGTATAATTCGCTGGCCTATTTCGTTGCAATTGTATAATTCGCTGGTCTATTTCGCTGCAATTGTATAATTCGCTATCCTATTTCACTGTAATTGTATAATTCGCTGCCTATTTCGCTGCAATATTTGTATAAAATTTGCTTTGCATACAATTGAATCGAAGTAAAATGTATGTATATTGCATAATTATAAGTATATAGGACGAAGATATATGTTTTTTCTCTCGCTTTATACAAAAACAGAAACACAATATATACAATTCTGTTGTATAAAGCGAGAGAAAATTGTATTTCACTGCAATTATATAATTCGCAATTGTATAATTCGTTGGCCTTTTTCGCTGCAATATTTGCATAAAATTTACATTTGTCTACAATCGAATTGAAGTAAAATATTTGTAAATTGTATAATTAAGTGTAAGCACGAAGATATATGTTTTTGCATGTGTATATATATTTTTCTCTCGCTTTATACAAAACAGAAAAACAATTCATACACTTTTATGTATAAAGCGAGAGAGGCGAGCAGAGGGAGAGTGGCAAGCGAGAATGGGAGAGTGGCGAACGAGATTTTTGGGAGAGAGGCGACTGACAAACTTTGGCTAACGTTTGCTATGGAGCACAATTAAATTAAACCGTAGCTACTCCATTTATTTTAGGTTATTAGTTTGCTATTATATACAATTATCCCTTTCAAGAATGCCCCTATTTTCCGTGGTCTTTAGTTCCCCTTAAATTTGTGATTTTTAATTTAATCTAAGTAACAAAAATATGGCTAAAAGGAAGGAAAAATTACACGGTTAGACAAACTTATACTATTTAATTATTCATCATAGCTATAGTTTGTTATAACTACCACTTACAACTAACATTATACATTAATTACGTGGGATGACTTCCAGTATGTATAATTAGCCACGTTTTTATATGTATAATTCGCTAGAATATACAAATACATATGAATAATATAAAACTATCTAACCAATATACATATACAATGCACTCTCTCCCGCTCTTTGCACTCTCTCGCTCGTCTCTCCTCTCCCTCTCCCAATCTCGCTTGCCATATATACAATTGCATATGTATAATATACAATAATCTAATCGATATACATATACGATTCACCTCTCTCCCACTCTTTGACCTCTCTCCTTCCTCTCCCAATCTCGTTCTCCTCTCTCCTGCCTCTCCTGATCTCGCTCGCCTCTCTCCTGTCTCTCCTGATCTCGCTCGCCTCTCTCCTCCCTCTCCTAATCTCGTTTGTCATATATATAAATACAAATGTATTATATACAAATATCTAACCGATATACACATATAATTCACCTCTCTCCCACTTTTTGCTATTTCTCGTTAGTCTCGCTCGCCTCTATTCTCCCTATAACATGTACTACGAATTGTAATTATCAAACTATAGTTATGGAGAGTAATTAGACTATTTTTGAGTGGTTTTATGTGAAAGTTCTTCAAAAAGGAATCCCTCATATTGAAAAAATATAAATATTACAACGCAAAGAATTCACAAAGCATAATTAAAACATCTCTTGTTTGTTTACTTGCTTAGTGGTGTAGAGAATAGCAGAAGAAAAGTATAATTCGGGAACCTTCGACTAGCCCAAGATCATTAACTAAGATCGAAAGATTCAATTAAGGAAGAATAAGCTAGAAGGGAGAAAGAATATTTGTATAAAAAAAACTTTGTTATAGAAGAAGACTATTCGATTGGGTTAATTACAAATGACTATGGCCGCCCCTATTTATACTAGTACAGGGATGCTTCTAGAAATTATTCTAGAAAGATCTACAAGAAAAATCTAGATGACCTTATTTTCTAAGAATCTAGATTAGTTTATAATTTCTTATAAATATCTAATTATCCAGAACTACTAGATTTTTCTTAAGTCTAAATATTAAAGATATTTACTCTACCAAATTCTTGTAAATTCTGCTAAATATCTAAGATATTTTTTGTACCTTCAAAAATCAGTTTTATTTTTCACAAGAGACTCCTAAAAAATCAGAACAATATATGAACATCGAAGTAATTCAGCTACCTAAGCTTTTCCCTTATTCGTGAGATCCAATCAAACATATATTCATTTAGTGATAGCTCCAATCCAATACTAAAAACCTTTGGAAAGAATTTGGTATATCCTTCGATAACAACATTAATATACATTGGTTAGATTACATTGATATACCAGCATTGATTAAAAACAAGAGAAAAGACATACAAGCACCATTAAAGTTATTCCCTATTTGTATAAAGACACCTTAACTTTTAAAGTGTCCTATTATCCCACAGAACTAATTAATTTCTTTGTAAATGGGCCATTTTGACCCATTTTCTCGTCTATGTAGTGGCGTGTGTTGCTCAACTCCCTATAATCTAATTCAACCTGACCCGACCCGACCCTATTCTTTAAAGAGAAGTCATCTTCTCCATTTCTTTTCTTCTCTGTTTGGCTTGCACCCTCAAGAAATTTTCGTTAATTTTTCTTCATTCGGATTTATTTTTATTCAGCTATGGAGTTAGGTGACAACAAAATTTTGAATGTGGGATTGCTATTAGTTGCAACCCTTTTGGTAGCAAAACTCAGACCTAAATAACTCACACATTTATGCTAACTCAGAAAAAACCCATGCGTAACACTTTCTTGCACATTGCAAGAAAAGTTAATGCAGATCCATTGACAACAGTTCCTCCATTAACCATTTTCTTGTTCATCATATTCCATTGGTCAATTTGTGGCGGACAACCTTTTTCTCAGCCATTATGGCCAATTGTGATGCTTAGACAGGAGCATCCATAGCTTGGAAATGTTTACTTTGAATTTATTGAACAAGAAAATCACATTCTTCATTGATCCAAAAGTTTCTCGCCAATAGTGGTGTCTTATTTTCTTAGAGAAGATGATGAAGTGGTCAAACAAAGAGTATCAACGTTGATTTTTCTATGGAAAAAACTATGAAATTGAAAAATTAGTGCTAACAATGATTATTTTGGGTTTAAATTTGGGGAAGATGACATAAATTGAAAAATAATTAATAATAAAGAAAAATAATGGCACATGGCACCTTTAAACTGGTCCATGGCAGTAAAAATAATGCATGACGCGCCTCATGTGCGTGGTAACAACTCAGACTAGGAAATGGGTCAAAATGGTCCATTTACAAAAAAATTAAATAGTTTTGTGGGGTGATAGGACACTTTAAAAGTTAAGGTGTCTTAATGCAAATACCGGACAACTTTGATGGTGTCTTTATGCCTTTTCTCTAAAAACAACTTACTCTTTTAACTTTTAAATTCTCCTTTTGCCTTAATGATGATAAATTAAAACCACACAAATATTTAAAATTTGTTTTAGACCATAACCCTGAAAGTGAGAGCTCGAGGCAGTGGGAAAGGAGAATCAACAAGATAGGATGAGCTCCTCGTTTTTTTCCATCCGCAGGTAGCATTGATCCATCTACAAGTTTCAAAAGTCTTTTTCTTTTTCTTAAACAACATGATAAATAAAATAGTGACACAAAATGAGATAAAGGTAATAATATAATTATCCTTGACTCTTAGAAAAAAAAAGGAAATCACTTTTTTCAACTTTTAATGTCATTTATTGTTTAATATTTAATTACATAATTATCCTTGAAACTCAATATCCAGAACATGAAATCAGATGTGTAAATAGGAAAATTAATTAGGAATCTACAACTGAATGGACTTTGAATTGAATTCTAAATCATATGTTTGAACTCATTAGATATTTGATCTAAAAATTTGACCTAAAGACTGACTTTGATTTTGACCAAGGTTTAAGTTAATTATGATATAATTAGTCCAATGATTGGGAGAATATGCAAACTACGTAAATCTCACTAGTTTAAGTCTTAATTATTCAGATTCTTGATAGTTTTAAATGTTACTTCCTCTATCATATTCAAACTTATGATACATGATTTTAAATCCACCAGATACATGTATATGTGGAATTTTAAAATTGAAACACCTATTTTATTTTAAAATTAATTTGTCATAATGAATTCCCTCAATTAGAGGAGTAATTGATGATATTTAGAATATATGGGCAATTAATTGAAAATTAAATTAATCAAATTTTTAATATAGGCAAAAATCAAGGAGCGTAGGTATGTTTAATTAATTTTAGTTATTATTTATTTAATATTCTTTGAAATAACAAATTCATCAATATTATTATTAATAAAAAAACAAAAATATGTATATTTGGTCATATAATTTGATTTAACTTCATTTTATTGCTTTTAAAATAATAAATTAACTAATTTGACATATTTATTATTAATAAATGATGTATCCTACAAATTAAACAAGTAGATACATGAGTATCATACAAGTACATTGGTATGTTTTATTGAAGTATCTAGTATTAATTTCGTGCATTTGTTGTATGCGTCTATTATTAATTTTATGTATCGATTTATATGATCTAATTTTAGTTTCATGTATCTTTTATATGTATCTAGTATCAATTTGATGTATCAAATATCAATTTCATACATTATATTCAAAAACATATATCTTGGGTACATAGTAAGCATATACATAAATTATATGTATCTAAATATGGAATGAGTATGTCTTGTCATTGATCCAAAGAAGTAAAAAATTTAACATTCTTTTTTTTTTAGGATCTAAAATTTTTTCTCATAAATACATATAATCTTAACTCAGATACATTTACTCTTAACTAGATACATGTACACATGATGTGTATTTAACGTTGTTTCATATCTAATGAAGTATTTGTTATGATGTTAAGTAGAGCTTGTCGTAATTCTTCCCTTTTGATTGAGTGGTTCATATACTTAGATCTTTTCTCGGCTTGATTATTAACAAATAAAGAGTCAGTCCCTGCAATAAGAATAACCAACCATTAAAGGATTTGAGAAACAACAAAATTAAAAAAATATAAAACCCAATTTGTTAAACTTTCAAAAATTGAACACCAAAAACATTATGAACTTTAACTCGATACAAAATCAAGATACATGAGAATAATAAAATAATAGAATGCATGAGAATAATAAAACAATAAAAACAAATATATATATATATATATATATATATATATATATATATATATATATATATATATATAATGTTGATTTGAACATACAAATATGTATTGAGAGGATGAAGGAAGAAAGAGAGAGAAGATAAAGGAAGAAAAAAGGTCGGTGGACGTTTGGGTGGAGAATGCAGATGTGAGATGTGAATATAAAAAATTTGAGTTGTTAATTTGGAGTAGTGTGGACCATTAATTAAGGAGCTTAAATTTAAGATAATTATTCAATATCATATTTAAGAAATTTGTGTATCTAAATAAATTTTTTAAAATGAATGGTATAAATATTAAAAGTGATAGTATATATAATTATTTTAAACTAGAGGTAAATATAATATATATGATAGTGATGTATGTATAGGTATATAGTCTTTCCTAAATTGTATGTATGTTGTGATATACTATCATATATGCACGTTTTAGATTTTCATGATATGATTAGCAAGTATGTCGTCTATATTTCTTATTTTTGAAAAAGTTTATATTTAAAACTTAAACTTGATATTTCTAATCGAGGAATAAGTAGCCTCATCCGGTAAAAAAAAAGGTTCAAATAGCAGTGGACTACATGGTTGGTTGTGATACCCTACTTTATTGTTAGTTTTACTATTCGTGGAATTGAATTGTTGTATTTTTTTTTAAATAATTCGATCGATAAGAAAATTAGAGGTCATTTGCACTTTTGACCCTATTTTATGCTAGTCTTTAATTTTTACTTTTCAAGAAAAATAACTTTTTCTCTGAGACAAATTTATAATATTATATTTTCACATTATAATATTTTCACATTATAATATTGCTACAAGTTATGTCTTAGCCCCGTGTCTTAAGAAATTTGTGTTTCACTAGGTATAAGTTCAATTCATAAAGACAAATTAAAAATCAAGTCATTTGAAGGATGTACAAACTAAGGGTGTCAAATAGACGGATTGAGTTAAAATTTAAGATATTAAAATAGATTGAAATAGAAAATGGGTTGGGTCCTGACCCATCCAAATTTACTTTGGGCTCAAGTGAGCTTACAAAAGGGTTGGGTCTTAACTCGTCCAATTTGACCCGTTTAATCTCAATAATTTTAATATATTGTTATTTAAGTTTTATAACCGCAATTTGAATTTTAACTCAAGAAAATTTACAAAGAAAAGTTACAAATTGATATAGACATATCCTAAAAGATGTAAAGTAGATGAAAATTCATATATACCTTACATCAATGCAAATAAAAAGGTCTTAAAATGGGTTGAAATTGAATATAAAATTAGACTCAATTGAGAATTTTCTTGAAATTGATTAAAATTGAACCAATTATCTTCACTCGGCCCTAAAAATTCTGAATGGATTGAGTAGATTACCTATAATTGGGCTAGTTTTTGATACCCCCTAATATAAACCATGTAATTAAATGAAATATTTTTGGATGTATGTTGACTATGAACATAAAAAACTTTGAATCTTGACAAGCTAAATTTGGACCTTAAGTATTGAAAGTAGAAATTGGACCATTTAAAAAAATTGAAAGGACATACTATTTGCTTGTCAAGACATCAACACCTCACCCTACCAAGTACCTACAATGGACTTAAAAACCACATTCCCTGAAGATGCCAAGAAGTTTCCAACCATGCTACTTCACAGCATATTTTGTGTTATTTTTTTCCTTCAAGGGCAAAAGGCAAATTGGTCACTTCTTTTAGGTGTGTGAGACATAAATACTGTTTGGTGAAATTTTCATACACATTTAGACTAAATGAGCATATTATAAAATTAATTTGTAAAATAGAAAAAAGTTTAAAAACCTTTAGAATAGAACTTTGATTTAAGAAAACAGAATAAAATCATAGTTTGTTTTCATCTATATTTGAGTGCTCAATGAAGGTTCATAGTCATTCAAGAGCGACACTCCTATTAATATTTTCTCCATATTCACGCTCAAACTCAAAACTTTTGATTAAGGGTGAAAAGTCATACCATTACATCATAACTCGTTGGCGAATAAATACTCCCTCCGTTCCCTTGTAGTTGTAATATTGTATTTTTTGGAGAGTCCATTTGACTAATTATCAAAATTCAATTAGATTATAGACATTTTAAAATAAAATTTTTAGATATTCAATACTATATGAAAAGTACTATAAGATATTTCTTTTTTCATATCAATAAAAATACATCTTGAATATTAGTCAAAATTCATATTATTGATTTATCAAAACAAAAACTATGACATGTAAAAAGAAACGGAGAAAATATTTCGGCATGTACAATAGCAAAAAAATGAATGGAAATGGGAAGGGAACATTAGTGAGGAAAGTAGGGATTGCATCATAAATCATAATGACAATATTCAATAGATTGTGGGCTCTCCAATTTTTTGTTTATAACTAAATTAAGGCAGTAAGGGTAGACTTCTAAGTCAAGTTTTTTCTAAATAAAAGAGGGTGAAAATTTTTCTATATCAATATTCCAATGCCATCTTCAAACCTTAGTAATTTAACGCGTTTGTACTTTTTACCAACATTGGAATGTAAAAATATTCATATTAGTGAGGAATAATGGAACAATTCCTTTATATTTATAGAGATAGGGGACAGTTTGTTTCAATTTCCTTCTATTGCTTATATTGGAATATCATTTCTTTTGTAAAATTTTAGGAATTTTACGGTGTAAGAAATAAATTATATCTTATTTCTATCTTTTTATAATTTACAAAAATTCTTTTAAATTTGTATCATCCGAATATGTAAGAGTAGATATATTAGATAATTTGTCTGAAAAGAACATTAAACGTAAAAATTAAATGTCATTTTCTCAAATCAAGCAAAATAAATTGATGTCAATCTCTCGCAAGTTGTAACAACTTCAAAGAATTCAAATTTTAAACTTTCTTTTCTCAAATCTCTTCCAAATCTAAACAAATTCAAAAAATAAAAACAATAGCTAATACATGATGAATATATCTATTTGGCTGAGACATTAAGGCATTTGGGAAAAATAGGTGAACTATGAACGATAAAAAAGTGATGGAATATTTATTGGACAAATAATTATTTTTGTGCATCTCAAATATGCCATTGCAGCTAATTGAAAATCACTAAGATGAAGAAAAACATGGAAATTTGATATTTAGTAGAAGGAAATCACGAAAAACGTTATTGGCAATGAGATGGCAAATTGTAACACTGAATTCAAAATTCTTTTTTTTTTATAAACTCTCAATTTTTTTAATTAAGTTGTCGACAAATTGCAATGATACAACATGATTCTGTCAATCATGTCGAGTCATTCCGAAATCTGGGAAAGTAAGGTGTTATATGAACGATACAAAAGTGATAGACTTTTGTTGGTATAAATATTGATTTTGTGAATCTCAAATCAGCCATTGCAACTGAATTAGAGATCGATGAGTTGAGAAAATTTTTGGATATCTGATACATTGATGAGGTGAAGAAACAAGAGCCTGAATTATCAATGTATCTGTTATGTATTGATACAATAGACAAAAAAAACTTGAAGAGATATGTAACTTTGATCGATGATTCACCTTTTATAATGTTATTAAAAATCGTTTCTTAAATTGTGTTTTCAAGACAAAAATTATAGATTGCAGATACATAACAATAACTGATACATGATAGATCATACAATTTTGTAATAATTGTGTATCAGATAAATAATTAAAGGCATGAGACACAAAATTTTAAATATTTCAATAGACAAGGACACATGTATGAGAAAAAAATTAACAACAAAAAATTTAAAGAAAAATCAAATCGTTGCTCTATTAATGTTGTGTCATATACATAAGTTCATAACTATGATCATATACAAACTGACATTATTGTTATAGAAATATTAATACTTTAACAATAATATTTGATAATGTCTACAAATATATAATCATCTAGTTGAATAGGTTTGAATGTATATAAGTACCGGTAAAAGATAATGATAGTTATATTTCAAATACATATAGCTATGAACATAATACATACTAATTTGTGTTTCAATTATGTATCAAAATAATATTTAAACACGATACATTGTGCATGATGAAATTGTAATGTATCATAATGTTAAAAAACAAGACATTATTCGCTTATTTAAGAAACAAAAATAACTAGATACATTAAGAATTCAAACCCATATTTAAAAAAGTCAACAATCTGATCTACTGAAATAAAAAAAATAAAAAAATTCCTTCTACACTTTCTATTTTGCTCTGTACCAACTCACGTAATTTTTTTCCACTTGCAATAATGGCGTCACCCATATAGATCTCGACTTAAAGCCTTTACCAGATCCATCAGCAACTCAATCTATTCCCATAATCAATTTTGAAGTCGAAGATGCATCCTTCTTCGACTAATTGGGTAATGTCACGACCCAAAAATGGACGTGATGACACTTGTCTTATCCCACCAAGACAAGTCAGCCTAAAACTCAATTTATTACAATAAAATGTGGAAAGTTTACTATCGACTTACATTATATCCCAAAACCTGATTGTCACGTGTACAAGCCTCTAAAGTATTACAATTGATTCAAAAGAAAAACTCACGTCTCAAATGAACTTGTTTCTAGAATAGAACAAGATCATAATTATGGAGAAGAAAGTCTGCTGAGATGTAAACAGCTACCTCACAAATCTCCAAGAAGCTTCGGAAAAGAAGAGAATGACAAGTTCAACAAAAATCCAGGCTCATAACCTACAAAAATTTGTAGAAGCAAGGGGTGAGTTCCAAACCACACGGTACTCAGCAAGTAAACCTCTAAACACAAGCTAAGGGGATGATATACGGGTACTCCTACCACCCCCAACCAAACCTCTACAACTACAACCTGCATTAAAATCAACCCAATCTAACAGCTCACAGCTTACATAGCACGTAGCTCAACAAATTACATATCCTCAACAACAATACTTCAACAAATTAAATATCCGCAATAACAAGCTCAATATTGATCAATCACAAGTTCCGCAGAAAGGCAATCAGAAGATCAGCAAAATACGATATCAAGTTCACTAATGATAAGTATGTGCAATGCAATGGAATGCAATGTCAAGTACAATGATGCATATCTGACCTAGTGATACACACCCGCTGTCTCTCAGTCCGGGGCCTATGGGGGACATATCTGTCCATGCAT